TCAAGGACAGGCCACGGCTGGAGGAGGCACAGAACAGGTCTTCTAAGCATGGGCCCAGGGCAGGGACCTGGTGGCTGCCTGTCTGGGTGGTGGTGGGAGCAGGACAGGCAAGAGTCCAAAAGACTCTGTCCAGGTTCACCCAGCCTCTGTCTGCCCCACAGCCCCGAGGCCTCCACCGCTCCCGGCCCTATGTCCCCACTGGCATCCTGTCATCTCTTGCTTAGCCCTAGGGCCCTGCCTACCTCTCACTCAGCTCTCTCCACCCCTGCAGCCTGACGGGAATCTCCCCTTTTGTTGGGGAAAACGATCGGACAACATTAATGAACATCCGAAACTACAATGTGGCCTTTGAGGAGAACACGTTCCTGAGCCTGAGCAGGGAGGCCCGGGGCTTCCTCATCAAAGTGCTGGTGCAGGACCGGCTGTGAGTACGAGGCCCCGAGGCGCCCCGACCTGCAGAGTCCCCTCATGCCACCCCTACTGCTGCCCGAGCCTCTGCCCTTAGACATCCAATCCTCCAAGTCCTTAGAGGCCCCATTTTCCCAAACATTTATTGACTGACTGAAGTAATGAGTGATGAATCCTTTCTTAATCCTCATTCCTTACAGGAGGCCTACTGCAGAGGAGACCCTAGAACATCCTTGGTTCAAAGTGAGTCTAGTACTGCAAAGTCATGGTAGAAGAGGTGGAGAGAGAGAGAGAGCATGTGAACAGCTTCATTTATTGAGTAGCTACTGTGTGCAGTTACCATGATAGGTGTTTTATATACTTATGATCTATCTGCCTCAAATAGCTCTGTAAAGGTAGGTATAACTCCCATTTTGTCCATAAGGAAACAGAGGCTCGAGTTGGGGTATCATGGATTCCAAGGCACAGATCTGGACTTCCCATCCTGGGGGTCCTCATCAGGGTTTTTTCTGGCTCTTGAAACCAACCGTGTGTCCACCTCTGTCTTGCACTGGTCCCACACTCTGTGGTTGGTATGTGGCCTGGCCTCTTGGCTTTGAGCTCTGTGTGGGCAGAGTTCTCATTCATCTTCAAACGCCAGCACTGCAGGGCACAGCGCCAAGTGGGGGGGATGAGATTCAGCAAATGACCCAGAAAGAGCAACTAAATAAACCATCCATTGAGAATTATGCTGGGTCAACTGAAGGCTGAGGTAATTCTGGTATCTGTCCTTGGAGAACCAGCCTTGTCTCCCAGGTCAGAAATGAGCCCCAAAGAGGACAGCCTGGGTGGGTCGCTGAGGGAGGTCTCTGTCATGGCCTGGCCCACCAAGGCTCCAGATACTGGGCCGCTAGCTCCACATGGAGATGGGTGGTGAGCTGGGCAGTAGGGCCATGCCCAGGGGCCTAAGCACAGGCCTCCCAGGCAGCCACTGTACTAGGACAGGGCCTTGAGCCCTGGTGTAAGCTCTGAAGCCCACCCCAGAAGCCACCAATTTTTGGCCTCTCCTCTTAGGTTCAGGGAATTTGTCTACATGTGGGCACCTTGGCTGTTGGAGTTGTTGTGACAGATCCAAGGGGAAGGGGACCCCCAGGACCCGGGCTCAATGCTGCTTGGTCCACTGTCCCCTCCTGTGGACTTTGTCTCTCCATTGTCAAACCTTGAGGGTCTAGGTTGACAGAAAACTTTCTCTAAGTCCCCCTTTCCCGGGTTTGCAGACACAGGCAAAGGGCGCAGAGGTGAGCACGGATCACCTGAAGCTATTCCTCTCCCGGAGGAGGTGGCAGGTGAGTTTGGCTGGGTCCTGCTTCTGTGCCTTCCACCTTCTCATTCTGAGCCTTCTCTCTCTAACCTTGCCTTTTCTCTATCATGTGCCCTCACCTCCTGCTCCTCTGTCATCTGCTTTTTATTTTCTCAACTCCCGGTTTCCCTCCTGCCCCCTGCCCCTCTCTCTGTCTGCCTTGGGCCTTCTCCTGGGGCTGAGGTGAGCCTGAGCGGGTCAATCTAGCCCCCGGGGGACTGTAGGTCTGACTCTAGCACTCTTTCTTCAGCGCTCCCAGATCAGCTACAAGTGCCACCTGGTACTGCGCCCCATCCCTGAGCTGCTGCGGGCACCCCCCGAGCGGGTGTGGGTGGCTGTGCCCAGAAGACCACCACCCAGCGGGGGGCTCTCGTCCTCCTCTGACTCTGAAGAGGAGGAGCTGGAGGAGCTACCCTCAGTGCCCCGACCACTGCAGCCTGAGTTCTCGGGCTCTCGAGTGTCCCTCACCGACATTCCCACTGAGGATGAGGCCCTGGGGACCCCGGAGGCTGGGGTTGCCACCCCTATGGAGTGGCAGGAGCAGGGAAGGGCCACCTCTCAGGACCAGAAGGCCCCAAGCCCTCCTGCCCACCCCTCCCCAGGCCAGGAGCCCCCAGCTGGGCCCAGCCCCAAGCGGGGAGGGCTC